AAGGAAAATTGTGCCTATATAAATTTAATTGAAATTACACAAATTTCTGGTTAAGTAGCTCAAACTTAATCATTAGACAAGTTACCCACCTAGCTAAACTACATTATTATACTATTAAATTAAAATTAATTTAAAATGCAGGTACTTGTCATTTCTAAATGTATTTTAAATTGTGCAGTCCAAATCACAATGAAAGCCTATTTAATGTTATTTATTAATTAGGGGTCAAGTATTTAAATTATATATTATGACCATGCCTATGTCCCTATACATCAGTATAATTGTAGATTCTTATCACATAATTTTGTATTAAAAAAAAATGATTGGTTATATATATCATTTTTTTTGGTTATATATATAGCTGGTAGGTCCGTAGGTGCCCCAGGGCATGTGGTACAGTAGCGGAGCGGGTTCCTGGGATGAGGTCCTCAGATCCAACCTGGAAGCCGGTGAATGGTATTGGGGCTGGCCATCTACTTGGGAGGATTAGTAATCCAACCCTCTGGCTGTGGATGTCCTAGGCCGTAAGGGCTCTTGCTAAGATTGGCAGGCTGGCAGTGGGTGACGATGAAAACACTGTGAGGATACCTTCCAGTTGAAAATATATATATATATATATATACTACAAAAAAGTTGTTATATTCCAACAGAAAATCCTATGGTAATATATTCCAATAGAAATTCCAACGGATATTCCAATGGTATAACTTCCGTTGGAATGGTTCCAACGGAAATATTCCGTTGGAATGTGTTTTTCATTGGAATTTTAGATGGAATTTTGTAATTCCAACGATTATATTTCCAACGGCTTTTTACTGTAGAAATTTCCGTTGGAATATGCAATTTCCGTTGGAATTTTTATTTTTACCCCTGTTGGAAAATCCACCGTTGGAATCGTCAAAATCCAACGGAAATTCCAATGGAAAACTCATTCCAACGGAATATTTATGTTGGAATTTTCGTTGGAATCCATTGAAAAATTCCAACAGAAATAATAGTATTGAAATATCCGTTGAAATTGCCGTTGGAATCGTTCTATTATAATAAATTTCCATTGAAATTTTATCATTTTCTATAGTTGGTAAGTACAGTAACAGTGTTTATTGGTTACTGGTCTCATCTCTAACTGTTTATTTATTTATTTATTTCAAAATTAAATTCGACCATTACATAATTTAAACTTACAACATGTGTTTTTGTATAATTTATTATGAAATTAAAAAAAAAATTATATTATAACTAAATGTATTAATGGTGAATATATTACTTTCAAATATTTTTTTGTATTTGACCATATATATTAATTAATATATTTAATATAACCTAACTTATAAACTATATATGTATGAAAACAAAATATAAATAAATTTATTTAACTTCATAATACCAAAAAATGTCATATACATAATACAATTAACTATTTAAGACCGAGTACTTACAAGGTCTCACTACTATACTCTCCAGCATACATGGTCAGACCTCAAGTACTCAGCCTCCTTAATTAATTTCCGAATAATACTCAATTCTAGCTAACAAAGTCTAAGTATATATAATATGTACTTATACATTTGATATAAAATATATAAATATATATAGATAGATAGATATTTAATATTATCAGCTACGATTAGTCAAGTGAAGATCGATCGGTCGATCAATCGATACTTCATTTTTTTTTCGTTTTTGCTTTAGTTAATTTGCGGTCGATGAGTGTGGAGTGAACGCAAGAGAAAGCTTCGTGCTAATATCCGATTCTCCTCCTTTCTTGCATCCCTTGTGATCGTTATTGAGGCCGAGGCTCAAACTTAGCTGCAAATCACAAGGAAACTTTTCTTTACGACTTACCATCGTCGTCTTCTGTTGGTCCTTCATGATCTGTTATTGAATTAAAAGAAAACATATATACTTGTTAGGTAGAATATTAATTCTTATGACTAAAGTTATATATACATGTAGAAGCACTTTCTAAGTGTGCATGCACACTAGTATGCTTGTTAAATATAGCTGATAAGTTAACTTGACAGCTTATAAGTTAATTTCGAGTATATAGATGTTAGCTTATAAACGGTGGTTGAAAATTTAGCTGATATAATAAAACTGTTTGATATAATTAAACTGAATTCACGTACCTGACCATGCCTCAAGGGAAGATCAAGACTGAGTGACTTATTCGGTTTACGGTCAAGCACGATGCTCGATTTCAGTTGATCATTAATCCCGATTTTTCCAATAGAAATATTACAAAAAGATTGCGACCGTGAGTTGGATATCGAGCTTTCTTTCTCTTTAAATTCATTTTGAGGCCGTTTCCATTTTCTTCCTTCAACAGATTGGTCTTCTTGCATTGCATGAAAATGTCTAGGAATATTAGACAACTGTTGATATCTGTTTGCAAGCAACAAAAATTAGTTTGCTCTCAAAATTTCATTCAGAAATACGACATTTGATAGTATAAATAATTATTTTTATTAAATAGATAGTAAGGAGAAGTTATATAATTACCGATTATTAACGAGATGGGTCGAATAACTCGAGGATTTAGGGTTTGGAGGGAAATCGAACGTGCAATCGCCATGTCGTTCAAAGACAATGCCGCCATTTTTAAATCTCAGCTGATGAAAAGGGGCTTTTGCAGAGAATTGGTTCCTACGTTGAATATTGTATAGCCTATTTGATTGACCTATTACTGTCACATGCAAATTTAATGCAAGATAATTATTATTAGTAATTTATTTTAATTTATAGAAAAAAATATTAAATTTAATAAAATGTGAAACACACGAGTAATTACCTCTTCCTGATTCGTCAAGTTTCTTGCTTCTATACATCTAAAAACCAGGATAAAAGAAAAAAAAAAATAATAATAATATTTATTGTTCAAAATAATTAATTTATATATATTACCCAAAATAAATAATTAAATAAAATAAAATAAAACCTGCAAGTGACTCTTGACATGAGAGATACTAAGCCCTCTAACATTCATCAATTGAAGCACTGCCTTTGGTGTGGCTCCTGTAATTAAATAAGAATTTAAGAAATTAAAAATTTATACTTGTCCAATTTTTTGACATTTATCGATCGAGAAATTTACTTACTTTCTTGGCCGCCGAGTCTCTCGATTGCGTGGACGAACGAGAGATGGAGATCGGGAGTCCACCGAAGCCTAGGCATTTTCGAACGGACATATTGTCGAACTGTTGTCTTCTTCTCCTTGTTATTATAATTAATTCGTTCGCCCGATTTCGAGCCGTCGTGATAATCTTTCTTCGCGATTCGTTGAATCCTAACACCCGTCGAAAGCTCGTTAATATGATCATTATTTTCGGCCTCATTGCTAGCGGCATCCTCGTTTAAGTCGATCCACGAGGTATTTTCTAACGAGTCTCCGGATAACATGTTTCGATCAAATGACGTTATTTCATCCTCGTTTTCTTCTCCTCCTCGAATCATCTCGTTGGTCATCGAACATATATTAATCGGTCTATAAAAAATGATTTAAGAAAAGGCAGTCAATGTGATAAAACAGAAGCTTTGAAATTAAATTCAATACATTACGTCTAATATTTGTTTACTAATTCAAGCCAAAAAAAAAAATTATGAATGTGACTAATAAATAAATTCAGTTTTTAAAATTTCAACCACCAAAGACTATTGAATATTGATTAATTTCACTACATATGAATGATGAACTCATGAAGTTATAAATTTCCGGAGACATTCATTTTAAATTCCTCGAATTGATTATTCGTTAGCTTCATGAATGAAATAATAATAATAATAATAATAATAATAATAATAATAATAATAATAATAATAATAATATATTTATATTGATCATAGTGTAAAAACACTTGCCTTTTAATCTAAAAAAAAAAAAGGAAACATTTTTTTTTCAAAAGTATATATAGTTATATAAAGGAATTGATCATCAAGTTATTATATATAATAATTAAACAATCTT